AGTCTCTTAATCAGCCAGTGCATTTAATATGGTTTCAATATGGTATTGTGTTGACTAAATACTGTGTAACCCTCACTCAGTGGGGATGCTTTTACCCACTGAGGTGTTGTGGTTAAGACGGGCTGACACTGAGGTTAAGTACACACTGACACCGACAGTTGTTGTCAAGTACTCCTTTATTCACAACATCGAGCCATGACGGCGATGCAACACAGTAGTACGACGAGAGAAAATACTGAAGCAACAAGAAACCAAAAAAAACAAAAAAGAAAACAAAAAACTGTAGCCCCAAAACAAATGTAAATAAAAAGTTACATTCATCACAACACCACGTGTAGGCTACAATATACACGGGTACAATAAAATATGTTTCGGCCAGTACACAGTACTGCCAACAAGTACCAATAAGTAGTACTACAAATAAATACTTATATTAATACTCACCCTAACTAGTGTGCACGTGCAGCACTAGCAGGAATACACAAATAAGTATTTTAACAAACATAATTTATGTAACTACACTACCTTCATTAGGGATACATCTTGGTCACCGTGTTCACAGACAGCAGGCTGCGTGTGACTGACACGGCTAGGCATGAACTACCCACAGTCCCATGTCATATGACATGGGACACAGGTAACATCGCTCACAAGATCACGGAAAAAACAACTAAGTCAACAGGCCACAGCCCCACAGGGGCCGCAACTCAATGAATTAAAACTTCATATTTTTCCCTCCCCTGGCTGGTAACCATATGTGTTACAACTGTATATAATTTGGTTTTAATTTTTCTAATCGGTATTGGAAGTCTATGCTATTTTAAACAAGTATAAACATAGACAGTACATAAAAAAAAACATTTTTTCAAAACCTTAAGAATGTTTCATTCAAAAGCTCTTGATCAATAAAATGTTTCTTTTCCTAAGTTTCCTATGATGAATTTTTTAAAAGCTGAATTACAATTCATTTTATTACCCACTTTCTACCGTTTCTTCCCCTTTCACCTCGGAACGAAATTGTAAAAAGTAATTCATACAAAATATAGAAAAAAAAACAGTATCCGCTACCCTCCCCCCACCCACAACCCACACACCCTCCTCCAGAAAGTTTTAAACACCGCTACTCGGAGATAAATATCTAATAGAAAAACCGGGTAGCCTTTTGTAAAGACAAGAGAGCTAAAAGTCACCAGAATAGCCCGTGTAACGGGTACCGATAGCTAGTTTAATCATAAATGTAATTGTAAATAAGCGCATGTCCTGATAAATTTTGTACTATCTTTTGTCCGTGAGGTCATTTGTCCTTGAGATAATTTGCCTATGAAATATTTCATCTGTGATATTTTATCTTAGATAATTTGTCCTGAGATCTTTTGTCCTGAGATCCTTTGTCCTGAGATCATTTGCCCTTAGATCATTAGTTCTACGATCATTTGCCCTGAAATCATTTGTCCTAAGATCATTTGTCCTGTGATCATTTGTCTCTCTACTAATTTGTCTAAGATAATTTGTCCTGAGATCATTTGTCATGCAACCGTTTAATAGCAATCACCTATGTTATTAACACGTTTTTCTTAACTCAGCTTCGCGTTTGTGGATGTGGTTGTTGTTAAAATTGACATCGAAAATTAGCCCACTTCTGATTGCTCTATAGATCTGAAATTTGGCATGTAGGCTACTTTCGCCTAACAATTTCAGATGCAATCATAAAAACTAGCAATTAGAGACCGTAATTAGCTTAATTTAATTACGCCCCAAGGACCATAAAATTGAGGACATGATTTCTAAAGATACCGACAAGACTATTGACACAGTTACTTCGGCCCCAATCGATGTGAGCGCGCTGGCCGTGATCGTATAGTGGTTAGTACTTCGCGTTGTGGCCGCGACAACCCAGGTTCGAATCCTGGTCGCTCAAGATTTTTAGTCCGTGTATTTATAAACACTTAGTCAAGTCATACTTAATCAAGTCATTGGATAAAGTAGAAAATAAACTATATAAAAAACTTTTTTTAAAAACCACGTTTTTCATGTGTAGCAACGGACTAAAAAGGAGAAAATAAAATACTTAAAAAAAAACTTTAAAAAAAACACGTTTTTCTTGTGGACTAAAAAGTAGAAAATAACTATTTACATACATTTGATGACAAAAAACGTGGGTCGGGCAGATGGGTCGGGAAATTTGATGGTGAACGTACCCACGTTTTTTGTCATCAAATGTATGTAAATAGTTATTTTCTACTTTTTAGTCCACAAGAAAAACGTGGTTTTTTAAAAAGTTTTTTTTTAAGTATTTTATTTTATAAAGTCAATTAATAGCTTCTATTGCCTTACGTTTATAAATGTTTTAGCTAGTAAGTGTGCAGGAGCAAAATCTAAATATGTGAAAAACTTAACGGAATTAATCATCATATTACTCTATAATTACTCGCTGTCTAAAATATTAAATGAGATTACCTCTATTTCTACTACATAAAAATAGTTTTTAAATAATAGAACATTAATAATAAGATTGAAAATTGTACGAATCCACAAGTATGAGCATTCTTTTTTCTATCGTTTCGCTTAGCTTGTTTTTTTTTTGTTCTTTTTTATCTCGATTTTTCTGTTGTACTATTTGTCTTTTGCATGTAGTTTGTCATTCATGTAGGTAAAGACATGGCGTTGGAAACGTGAGTTATTATATTATATATTGTATGCACTTAGAAGATCTAAAATGATATAAGCTACCAGCGCTTTTCTTTAAAGTTATGTATATATATTTTATATATATATATATATATATATATATATATATATATATATATATATATATGTATATATATATATATATATATATATATATATATATATATATATATATATATATATATATATACTAGTCTTATTCTTTCTACTACTTCAGAGAACCTCAGTTAGAGGCAAAACATCAGCGAGACCAGACTTTCGAAACAAGTTATTTCACTCACGTGATTATTTTTTTGTTAACTATTTCTTTCACAATGCTTAAAATTATTTTGATGACATTTTATTACTTTATAACTTCTTTTCACAATCCTTACAATTATTTTAATGACCTTTTATTAATTTGGTCCTAGGTGCTTTGACCACAGGTGCTTTGACCATAGGGGGTTTGACCATAGGGGGTTTGACCACAACGGTGCTTTGACTACAGATGGGCTTTGATCATAGGGGTTTTGACCATAGGGGCTTTGACCACAGAGTGGGCTAATCATAATATATAGATTTTAAAATAAAACTTATTAATTGTTGTTTCATATAAATTTATGACACAATTAATACGATTTTATACATGTTTCCTGAGAGTACGTTAATATAAATTAACATGTATTAAATAAACCGGGAGTGATCTCCCCTAAACCTTCTCCAATATTCTTAAATAAAACAACAGGGGATGGGAACTCGGGCTATAGACATGATTTTTAATCCATTTTAAATACTTAAAGTTTTAAAAATAGAATAAAATCTCGTAGACAAAAGAATTGCACACCAAGTGAACGCCAAATAAAAAAGTGCATACTAGTGCGCAATATTATTAGTACTTTAAAAAATTACATTAGTTTTTTGACAAATCGGAAGTAGCATAAATTACTACTTCCGGTCAATGGAAATTACTCAAAATTTAACAGAATGTAGAAAATTAGATCTTTTACTCACATGTGAAACTTCATTTATCTATCTGAAATAGTACTCAAGTTATAGGCTTTTGAAAAATTCAAAGTAAAAAAGTACCACTTCCGTTTATCGGAAATCGCTCAAAAGTTGATATGGATCTACGTTTTTGATAAAATACTTATATATGAAATTTCATCAACCTATCTGTAACGGAACTCAAGTAATCGTGTTTACACACAGACACACACACAGACAGACAGACACACAGACATACGGACAGAATTGCAAAGCCCAGTTTTTCAGACTGGATTACGCATCAAACCTTTTAATTTTGATAAATCTGGATTGATAATTTTTGCCCGATTAAAATAAGTCCTCTATACTTCGGATGTGAAGAAGGACTGAGGTGAAAATTGTTAAAATTTCAAGTGATTTTTGTGCACGATTACAATACTTTCTCTATACTTCGTATATACGAGAAAGTAAAAAGTCAAGAACTATATTTTATTCTCCACATAAAGGCTGGTGCTAGGCCAAATAGATTTATTTTAAATATAAATGGAACACAAATAATGCGACATATAACAAGTTTCACAAATAAATAATGTAGTTGTACTTGAAAATAAATAGCACATATAAAGGATAAAAAATGATACAAAACTTGTATTTATACATGATGATTTAACATGTTATAACTTCATGTCGAAATTTAAAATATACTTTAGCAACTTTTAAAATAAATCTTTACCATATATGGACAGCATTGGACAAACCACCTGAGATCAAAGACCATATGTGGACAAAACACCTGAGATCAAAGACCCTATGTGGACAAAACACCTATGATCAAAGCCGGAAAAATCGCTTGTGATCAAACACCCGTTGATAGACCACCTGTTATCAAAGACCCTCTGCTGAGAGAACATCTGTGGTCAAACCCCCTATGGTCAAACCCCCTATGATCAAACCCCCTTTGGTCAAAGCTTCGATGTGGTCAAACCCCCTATAGTCAAACCCCCTATGGTCAAAGCACCTGTGGTCAAAGGTCCGCGTCTCATTAATTTATCACTTACTTTCACATAGCTCAAAATTATTTTGAAACAGATGATGAAACAAAAAAATATTACATTTATTCACTGAATGACTTCAGAAAGTTTACTTTAAATTCATATTTAAAGAACATATTTTCTGCGCTATCATACGCAAATTGTTTCATTAAATATGTTCAGAATGTAATTAAACGATTTCTAGCGCAACCAATGCTTTTCTTATTATTTAGTATAACTAATTGAAGACTGTATTTATAATTTATATTAAAATTTGGCGTTAATAAAGTTGTATACTTGCTTTTAACGTAGATATCGATTCCAAAGAAAAGTAACCTAACTTCATAGAAGATGTCACTAGGTAAAATTTTTCTGATAGTAGCAGCATGCCTACAGTACATTATGTGTTATGCTGAAGGTGAGTAGGGTACAACAAAAAATAGGGGAAATATCATCGGACCGTACGAATAAATATTTTAGGAGTGTTTTTAATATGTATTATTGTCTTTTTGTGGGCATCTCTAGACCTTCGAAACATTTCTCATGAAGTATATTGTTTACATTTTAAAATATAAATTTACGATTGGTAAAGCAACGATGAAACCCTCTTAAAATATTGCGTCATACTTTCTTCTGAAACGGCGGCAAAGTGCGAGGACGGGCACGCTTGTTCTAAATAGATTATACGTGTTCATCGACAAGACTAAAATGGCTTATGTTTAGTTTATCGATAGTACTAGATAAATTAATTGTATATTCGAATTAGATTATATATATATATATATATATATATATATATATATATATATATATATATATATATGTATATATATATATATATATATATATATATATATATATATATATATATATATATATATATATATATATATATATATATATATATATATATATATATATATATATATAAATATATATATATATATATATATATATACGTGTATATATGAAATAACTTTTGTTCTAATATTATTGAAGATGAATGCATTGCTTACGACCAATCGGATCAATCCATCCAGAAAGTTACAGCCGTTAACTCTATGCATGTAAGCATCTGAAATCTAAATAATAGTTTCGCTAAGCTGTCATTCTGTCTGTCTGTCTATCACTCTGTAATTCTGTCCTGAACACACTATAGAAAATACAAATAAAATAAAAACTGTCTCTGGCAGATTGAATGACGTCACATGTAACTAAGGATGTATCTAATTAAGACAAACAAAACGAAACTTACAAAGCTTAATCCTTCAAAAACTATACGAAAAAGAGTGATGCGATTATTCATTAATTGTCGGGTGAAAACAAAAGTATAAATCGAATGCCGAAAAGTATACACAATAAAATGACGTTTGATGTTAGAGTAAAATAAATCTAATGCCGAAAACAATACGCAATAATAATGACGTCATAGATACGGGATAATACGATAATAAAGAAAATAACTTTACCGCCCAACTTAATTGTCTAATCTTAAAAGTGGTCTGCATGTAGGCTATATTTCAACCAGTTCTTCTACTCTCCCCTCCCCCACACCCCCACCGATAAGCGTCTAGCGCCCTTTCCCCCGAACAAAGTAGCATTTATACAGAAAATATATACCTTTTCCATTGTCCGCCCCATCAGTCCCTTGCCAAAAAAATTAATAAATGTAATGCTGCCGCCCCTCCGCAGGAAAAAATATTTTGAAAGAAACACAATCTGCATGATTGCAGTTCAGGTGTGAGTTTAGTTGTAATCTGTATCATATGCAAATGCGACCAGTTGTTTTAAGATTAACATAACATTTTCGTAACGGGAGTAGGGTTGACTTACGTTCCGGTGGGGGGGGGGGGGGGGGGAATGGGAAACGTTCTTTGGAGGGGCTCTATCACCTCCCCCCTCCAAGGAAGATATGCCAGAAAGAAACTCTGAATGCGACCGTGCTATTCAAGGCAATATTTAAGGGTATGATCTACTACTATATTTAGTAAATGGATGTGTAATTTCCGATTTTGTGTAAAGTCAAAAAAAAGGCCAGAGTTCCTAAAATGACAAACTTAAGCCAAAACTTAATATCGATTAACCACGCATGCATTTAATTTTGTTGATTATTTAAAACGAGTAGTTTTCAAATACAGCTATGGGTAGAATGAAAGAGAGAGATAACCGAATTCATATGTATGTGAAGCGTAATGATCGAGGAAAGAGAAGCCGACGAGGACATAAAAAGCCAATTTAGAGCAGGAAATGAATCTTTAACACACATGTCAATGAGACAACTTTATGTCTCGGATCTATTGAGATTCAAGGTGTTGAATAACAGTAGACTACAGCTATCCAAGAGAAGATGTCAACATTTCGATGCATGCATCGAACTGGAATCTAAGAGAGAAAAAGTAGCAAGTAAATAAATAGAGCTGCCAAATTCAGTATCACACAATTATTATCGGAACTAAAAATGTGTGTCATTATGATAGAATTAAGCTTGTGTGTTAATTTAAGCTTGAATTAAAGAAAAAGAAAACATTTCGTTTCTGCAGTTTCTTTTTTTTTTGTTATAGGAATGTTTTTTGGCATGTGTCGCCAACTCGAAATGCTTGAGCTTTGAGTACGACGGCGTATGCACAATTTATGTTTTCTATTCACCAATACATCGATCAGATGGTTATTACGATGTATTTATAAGATGCTCATACAATTCAAGTAAGTTTAAAGGATTCATTACTGATTCAAAACCAATAATCACATTTTTAAATCTATTACACTTGTAATTTTTTTTTTATTTTAAAAATGAAAATCCAAATCATGGTATTAAATACAGATTGTTACTGGTTATTTTACTTATAAATACGATTACTCACATTTTTCAACTAATAGGTGATCTGAGAAAAACTGTTCAGAGAAGAATTGCATTTTCTTATTTGAAGTAATTGAGTCGGGTGTATTGAAATAACACCTAAATATATTTGACGGTTAGCAATGTTTTTACTCTTTCACATACGTTAACAAAAGAATACAAAGAACATGTAATATACGTCATGTATATGGCTGAAACGCATTAAACGGATCAATATCAATTAGTATTCTGGCCGAGACTCTTTGAATAATGGATATAGTGGAGGAAATAGAACTAATTAATTTAAACCTGTTGTGTTTATTATAGGGGAGATAATAAAAAAAAACAATTCAAGCTAAATATTTACTATTTTAGTAATATTTATTATTATATACCTTTATTTTTAGTGTATTCCTACCCGACTGATTATTATTTTAAGGCTCATAATTAAAATATATTAAGGTTAAGATTATTTATATTATTTTCTGATTAGTCGGTACAGAGTTTTATAGTTTTGTTTTTAAATTTGTATGAACTCTCTAAATCCAAATTTGTTTTGTTTTTCGGTGTTATCTAAAGGGGGTGGTTAAATTAGATTTAGATTTATATATTACTAATTATAGGCTACATCATAGCTTTGCTTAGGATTTCAAAAACATTTGAGAATTTGAATGCTTAATTAATTAGAGATAGGCTGATATATGGAGTGATTAACCCTTTCAGGACCACAAGGATTGCACACATAATTTCAAATATATGTGCACACATTTAGTAGTAAAATGACACGTATTTTAAAAAATGTTAACGATTTTCCGATATCTTAAATAGTTTTTGAGATATAGCATGGGACATATCTGTCTCTAAGGGCGTCAAGGGAAAGTTATCGAAAATAGGTTGCGTTTTGATTTATGTCAATATGTTTATTCTAAAAGTGATCAAATGTTTGTTATTCTGGTACATTAGAAATAAAAAATATCAGTAATGAGAACACATTTATGTCCTTTATGCGTGTATAACACAAATAATACTCAAATAAAGCAATACTTCGTCATTTTCTGCTTGTGTTTAAAATAGTATAAAATTTTTGAAAAATATTTTTTTTATAAAGTTACCTCAATTGTAAGTTGAATGAATGATGTATTCTTTATTTACTTTTTATTTTCTCGTATACAAAGTATAGAGAAAGTAGTTCCATAGCAATCGTGCGTTTTACTCCTCCCTGAGTAGGAAAAAACACAATTTTGCAATATTCTCCGTATGTCTGTGTGTGTGTATGTGTTTCTGTGAACACGATAAATTGAGTACCGTTGAAATTACGTATATAAGTATTGAATCAAATGTTTAGTTCTGTGTCAACTTTTCAGTGATTTCCGGTAACCGGAAGTGGCACTTAATCTACTTTCAATTTTTCAAAAGCCTATAACTTGAGTACTGTTTCAGATAGATAAATGAAATTTCATATTTAAGTAAAAGATGTAATTTTCTGCCTTTTTTAAAAAAATTAAGTAATTTCCGTCCACCGGAAGTTGTAATTTACGCTATTATCGATTTCTCTCGCGGTCACGTTTTCGCCTTTGCCGTGCGAGCAGAGGCTAGCCATTAGTTTATCCATAAGGCCGATTCATTTACCAAAGTTCATAGAAAAATTGAGCCAGATGTACAGACCAAATTTCCAATACAATGTTTTTGAAAATAGTCATCGTTTTTCACAAATTAACAATGTTTATATAGGAAATTCGGACCGGTCAGTTCTAAAGCCCTTCCGGAATTTTCACAAAGATATTGTATTGTGACCCCCTCGGGTATTTCTACGACCTCAGGAGTCATGATTTGGTTTGTACCTCCAGATATGTGTATTTTTTTATTTCTGGGATTTTCACGAAGGTAGTACCATCATTTTCTAGCCTATCCCCCCCCCCTGGGGCCAATGTACATCTCCAAGAGTTCTCAAAGGCTTCCCACGTGAGAATTTGTTTTCGAAAAATAGCTCATAATAGGAGAATTTCACTCGTGGCCACTTTTTAGGCCTCGCCGTGAGAGCAGAGGTTGACAAATAGTTTATCCATAAGGCCGATTCATTTACCCAGGTATATGGAAAAAATGAGCCAGATGTACAGAGCCTAAGTACCATAAAAATGGTTTTGCAAATAGTCATCGTTTATCACAAAATCATTAATGTTTATATAAGGAAAATTTTGACCGGTCAGTTCTAAAGACGCTCCGGAATTTTCCAGAATATATCATAGTTTTTTTTTGCCACCCCGAGGGTCAGTCTAAGACCTCAGGAGTTATGCAGAGGTTCCTACGTGGAACATGTTTTTCGATATATAGCTAAAATAAGGCGCCGGTCAGTCGAGGTCAGTTTTGACCCCTCATCGTAGACTTTGGGCCCACCGGCACAGGGCCCCGTGTTCTATCGCCCAAGGCAGGAGCCTACTAAATTTAAAGCGCCTGCGGCGCCGGGAAGTGCCCTGTAAGGCATCCGAAATGGTTTTTTTATATATTATGTAGATTTTATAAAAAGTAATGTGTGTGTTTGTCTTTTATGCATTATTACACCTTTCATCCGATCGCCATGAAACTTTAATAAGTAGTTGAGAATACTCATGGAGATGTATCTGTTTTTATCGCAGAGTTGGTGCCCCAGCTGGGCGCCTTTTGATTTTTTTTCTATATACGGTATATTAAAAAAAAACAATAGTCGATTGCGTTTATACGATCGCCATGAATTTTTTGGGAGTTGATCAAAATATTCTTTAGAAGGTATCTGCAAAAAAATTGTTTTTAATTACGCAAGGGCGGCACCCCAGGAGGGTGCGCTTTTTCTGTAATACTGTGTGTAAAAAATAAAAGTCGGGTGCGGTTCGACACAGTTCATACGATCGCTATGAAACTTTTAGGAGTTGATAAGAGTATTCCCAAAAAGTGTATGGGGGAAAAATCAATTTCGCACGGGCGGCCCCTGGCAAGGTGTGATTATGCGCCCCGGTTTTTCCTAGAGCGGTATGGCGCCTTCATTCGTTATTAACAGTGTAATGAACTAAGGATAAAATTAGACGTTATAGTCGTTCACAAAATTGAATCAAGCAGGTCCGCAGGCGACCATGCAGTGAGCAACTTGGGTAATCATGTATGCACTATGGCGCTTACGTTAGTTGTAAGGAGTCAGGCACGGTACAAAGCGCCCCTGCAGTAGTGTAATCAGAGGCTCCCGAGACCGCCCCTCTACGTTCCTAACACCGAAGTTTGTTATATTACTGTGAGTGATTAACGTACACTCAATGCTTGCATGCAGTAATGTAGGTAAACCTTGCCCGTATACACATGATCCAACGCATATTTCGTCAGACTTTCTTCTTTCCCGGCGAAAGGGTACGCTAGTGTATGAATAAAATAGATGACCTAAAAATCTCTTTATGTTTGCGCTTGCGCTTATGTTTATGTTTGGGTTTTAGTTTGTTGTGATTTTTGTATTCGTTTTTTTATTTTTTTTTTGTTTGTGTTTTCGTTTTCGTTTGTGTTTTGTTTTTGTCTGTTCCCCAGTTGGTACGTTTATAAAAGAATCACCGTGGCAAAGCACGGTATAAAGCAATGGTATATTTGTAAATACACACACACACACACACATATATATATATATATATATATATATATATATATATATATATATATATATATATATATATATGTATATATATATATATATATATATATATATATATATATATATATATATATATATATATATATATATATATATATATATATATATATATATATATATATATAATATAGGCCTATATTTTAATATTTTGCTACCGTGTTGCTATATGTTGCTACCGTTAATATTACTTATTCATTCATTTATTCGTTTAACTATACAACACTTTATTTTTTATATAAAAAATATTTCGTAATCTATATATCTATTTTGATATTCTTTTGGATAATCTCATCAGCCCAATGCTCAGCTTATCCTAATGAAAATGTTGCTGATGACGATTCGCAAACAACCACATTTAATGTAGGTATTAAAATTTTATTGTGCATTAATAAATTATCTCTATGATTTGTTGAGGGTCGAGTGGTTGGGGGGTAAGCACATGATCTCGAACCTCGAAGCCCCAAGTTCGAACGCTTGGGTAGTTTTGGCTCGTCAGGTGGAGACAGTAGAGTAACGCAAATAGAAGAGAAAACACTCACTAAAATAAAAATAAATGAGTGGAGCCCCTTAGATTGCCTTAGAAGATGGTTATCCCTGCGACACTGCTGTTTCCAAGCTCAAATAGTAATGTCCTGTTCCTTGGGTTCAACAAGTGTGTTGAGAGAGGGGGTTTGGTACACTGGCAGCGACTGATCCTTTTCCAATGTGCAATCATCCAATGGTTTAATTAGACCAAGGAGCGATGTTCTTAATTTGCATTTGATTTTTGTGCACGACTAAAATACATCCTCTATACTTTGTATTCGAGAAAGCAAAAACTAAAAGGATTATATTTTTAAATTAGTTTTTTAATATCTGCTTGTTATAAAAGAAAGAGACATATTTTATGTTAAAATGTATGTTTCTGATAAAATAAAATTAAATACTTTAATGTGGCCATCAATGTTATTCACGGTTATAACATACGCCAATGTCAAATATATTTGATTGACGTTAATTCTAGCTAAGATTCTAGACAAAAAAAAGAAGCAATTTTATTTGTTGCAAAACGCCATTTCCTTTTGCATATGGGGTTTACATAATTAGAGTAAAAAATAAACCACTCTATTTATATACATATTATATATATATATATATATATATATATATATATATATATATATATATATATATATATATATATATATATATATATGCTAGTACTTGCTTTAAGACGCTAGACAGGCACACGTGATAATTTAACAAGTAGGCTACTCTCTGAATTTGCAGGTTCTAAATAAATCGCTTTATTAATCGTAATAAAATGCATATTCTACATACGAATAGCATCAGTATTCAACACAAGAATAATACACATTAAACCAACAGACCTCCACTGTCAAAACTCCTCAGAAATTCATACACGTATTACAAGTTCCTCTTCATGTTTCAAATCTTGTGAACTATTATATAGGCCTAGCCTCCGAATATATATCTCAAGCATCGATGTAATGAATTAAAAACGAAACTACAATAGAAAGTCTTATATGGTTTCAATTTCAGGAATGTAAACAACTCTCGATTGACAACCCTAAATCGAATGGCTTCTCATATTTTTTTGGGCAATGCAACCTTTACGTGTTCAGTAGGGATAAGCTAAACACCACAACAGAAACCGCAGGATTTGCGTATGTTCGCTGTGAAAGGGGTAGGCATTCACTTTTAAATGATTATGTACCTGTTTTTTAAATTCGTTTTTTATTGGTTATTTTAATTTTAAATACTAATCACGTGCATGATACAAATAACCACTAGAATTTATATTTTACATTGATCTATTTACTGTGATTATTTATTATGAATATGTACCTGATTTTAAGCTCATTTTTATTAGTTATATTAATTTTAAATACTTATGACGTGCATGATGAAATCTAACATTAGAATTTATATTGTACATTCAGCCATTTAGTTTGATTCTTTAAGTTTGGTAAAATGTAACCATTCAACATTGATAACGCAATATATTTTATATCCACACGACGAAGTCTCAAAAGCCTACCTTTACATTAACTAGTGACCAGAGTTAACCATCAAAATGTTATGCTTCAACGATTCTTTGAATACATAACGTCCTCGAAAACTAAGACTTATAGCTGCAATAAAATTACATTAGCATCATTGTTTTTAATGTTAAAATTAGATGATTTATAAACGAACTAGCTTGCCGGCGACTGCGTCTGTTAAAGTTTTAACAATGAATATAGTAGTACCTCTTATCCACTTATGCAGGACGCCCATTTATCGGATACTAAGTGCTAAAATAGCCGCTCTGGAAACCGTGTATTGGCAAAAATCGCACCCTGCTTGGCGCCTCCCATAAACATGTCGCAGAAACCTTCTTGTGCGTGCGTATTCTCATCAACTCCCCAAAGTTTTATGACATCCGAATGAACGCAGTTCAACCGCATCTGACTTTTATTTTTATATACCGTGTATAGAGAAAAATTGCACACTCTCGGGTGCCGCCCTTACCAAATTTAAAAAAATACGAGCCGACCCGCGGCATATCATACGCCGCTATTTAGTTGTTGTTTTTTACTTTTCAGTTTGTGAATTCGACACTACCAACGCTGCCACTGAAAATATTTTTTAAAACACTATAAGTAGCTCGTTAAGAACGATAACCCCCCCCCCTCCTTCCCCCCCACCCCCTCGTTAAAGTAAACTCCACTTAGTTACCCCCCCCCCCCCCACGTTTAAAATCGTTTCAAACTAAATTATCTGCCCCTAATAGTCGTCACTAAACCCGGCTCTGTTTGTAAACATTTAGAGTGAACCACAACTCACCAGACCATGTAGAGGTGGGGGTGGTAGGGAGCGCGTTTACAGCTTGTTTTCTAGCGTCTCCCAGAAGAGAATTATATATATATATATATATATATATATATATATATATATATATATATATATATATATATATATATATATTGCAGAAACCTCCCCTGGAGTGTTTTAATCCACTCCCAAAGTTTCATGGCGATCGAATAAACGGTGTCGAACCGCAATGATCTTTTATTTTTATATACCGTATGAAGAGGTTTAAATTCGGTATAAGTCTGTAAAACGTCCGTAAGTAAAGGCAAAGGGGCATAGAGCTGACAAACGGCAAGGTCACATAAACAAGTGAACTCTACTTCAACTGAACCATAGACGTTCAGGTTGAAAGAGAACTTTACTCTGGTTGATAATGAAACGGGGACAGTAGTAAAATGTGTTGTACAAGTTTGTTTTGTGTGCTAATTTCTTTACAGTAATAAATAAAATTCCTAACTTTCAGCCGAAGACACGACCACCACTTCAACAACTGCTGCAATGGCAACTTCTGCTACAAGTATTTTTTTTTACATTTAGTAAGATATCAATCTTATTTAGGACTTTACATTTAAACAATTCATACAATCTCATGTGTATTTTCAGCAACAGAAACGACAACTACAACACCAACTGCTGCCATTACAACTGCTACTAGAAGTATCATTTTTTTTTACATTAGTAACACATCAGTCTTATTAAGGATTTAGTAGTTCAAAAACAGTATTAATTGAGCATTTAATTGAAACAACTTTGCTTGTGTTTTTAGGAAAATATTGCAAGAAAGGTTAAAAAGACGTTTTGCTTTTATAAGTAAGTTTACATTTTGGAAAATTATAAAGTTTGTTTTAGACGGACTTAATCCTAAAGGGTGTCTCAGTCAAAAAAAGAACTGTTTTTTGAAGTGTTTAATGTATTACGGCGATATAATTTTATCCTACTGTCTTCAGGGAATACCCATCTCAAACGTACACTTTTTTTGTTGGACTGAAAATAAAAACAATTTTTTTGTGCGTTGTTTAAAAGGTTTTTATTTCCTGGATACTTTACGTAATGCACAGATCGTAAACAAACGATAAATTCAAAGTATTGACCCAAAATGTCTGTTTTAAATGATTGAACTAAAAGTCTACTTTAGTCTGATCGTTTATTTTTTTTAAAGGTTATATATTTGTCACAATAGGTAAAGACTGTTAAACTACAGGTGTAAAAAAAAAACCTTCAACTAATTACATTTGTAAGATCATTAGGAGGTCGGCCTAGTGTGCTAAACCGAAAAGTCTCGAGGTTCGACAACTCCAAAATAGTTTGTTCTTGGTTGGACAGAGGTTATGGAAGCAAATCCAGAAAGAAAAAGCAGTCTGAAATTGGTGTCAACGGCTTATGTGGCGCATAACAAGTTGACGAATATAGTAATTTTGTTATGAGGAATCTCTTCCAACATTAAATATAAGAACGGAGAAGAAGAAGAATAAATATCATATTTTGTGTTCCTTATCTAGTTAACGCTTAGTTATTAATTGCATAAATGAGCTAATTTTTATATAGGATTTCTGAATAATACCTTGAAGAATTGTATTAAAGTGTATTATCTATAGATGGAGGCATGTTAATTTAGAAATAAATACAACAAACAAACATTGAACATGTTATTTTATCTTCTTCAACAGAAGTTCGAGGGAGAAGACGTCACAGATGAAAGAGTCTTTATGTTATGATGTCTTGATATTCCTTCAGCTATTTTAAATTTGCAAAAGCGAATTTACATTTTTTTTTTTAAATTTTATTTTCTTAATTTCTAAATTTTCAGAGTCTTTACATTTTAATGTCTCAAATACCTTAAACTGTTTAAATTTGCAATGGCTATTTTAAAATCTCTTTTTTCAATTATTATCATTAACTTATCATCATCATCCTCATATTTGTCTTCTTTTTTAACACGTTTTTCTTAACTCAGCTTCGCGTTTGTTTGGTTGTTTGGATGTTCGTTGTTAAAATTGACATCGAAAATTAGCCCACTTCTGATTGCTCTAGAGACCTGAAATTTGGCATGCATGCTACTTTCGCCTAACAATTTCAGATGCAATCATAAAAACTAGCAATTAGTGACCGTAATTAGCTTAATTTAATTACGCCCCAAGGACCATAAAATTGAGGACATGATTTCTAAAGATACCGACAAGACTGGAGGCCTATTGACACAATTACTTCGGCCCCAATCGATGTGAGCGCGCTGGCCGTGATCGTATAGTGGTTAGTACTTCGCGTTGTGGTCGCGACAACCCAGGTTCGAATCCTGGTCGCTCAAGATTTTTAGTCCGTGTATTTATAAACACTTTTTTAAAAACCACGTTTTTCATGTGTAGCAACGGACTAAAAAGGAGAAAATAAAATACTTAAAAAAAACTTTTTAAAAAAACACGTTTTTTATGTGTAGCAACGGACTAAAAAGGAGAACGGACACGGTAACACATTGTTAACGGTGACACGGTTGGTACGCTGGGCATGCTAAAATACACATAAACACGTTTTTCCTTAACTCAGCTTCGCGTTTATTTGTTTGTTTATGGGAGATTTGATCATGTGATTCGTGGGTAGATCTCCACGCCAGCAACGTAAATTACACCCTTTCTCTGTTTAAAGCGTATCGGTCGCTCAAGATTTTTTTAGTCCGTGTATTTAAAAACACTTAGTCAAGTCATACTTAATCAAGTGATTAGATAAAGTAGAAAATAAACTATATAAAAAACTTTTTAAAAACCACGTTTTTCA